ACTTGCTCGATACTCCGAGACAATGCTTTGATCAGCCTAGGAATGCTACTTTTGGTTCTATTTCTTCAGAGTCTGCCAGTCGAATTATGTTGTGTCATTGTCGTTTGGGTCATTTGTCTTTTTTTGCTTTAAGTCATCTATTCCCTGAATTGTTCAAGGGAATTAGTGTGTCTAGTCTTCATTGTGAATCGTGTCAGTTATCAAAGCATTGTAGAAACAATTACCCTTTGAGTAATAAAAGCTCTTCTTTTCCTTTAAATATTGTGCATTCTGATGTGTGGGGGCCTTACCACTTATCCTCTATGGGGGGGCTACAAATACTTCATCTTGTTTATTGATGATTTTTCTCGGTTCACTTGGATATTCCTGATGAAATCTTGTTTATTGATGATTTGTCTTTCCCTCCAGGAATGTATGGAAGTGATATGCAAGGAAAAGTATGCAGATTGAAGAAATCCCTTTATGGCCTCAAACAGTCTCCTAGAGCATGGTTTGAGAGATTTAGAACAACACTTGTTAACTTCGGCTATGTTCAGACACAGTTTGATCATACTCTTTTTGTGAAGAGAAGTGGATCTCTGGCAATATATCTCATTGTGTATGTTGACGATATTGTTGTGACTGGTAATGATGCTTCAGGAATTCATGCTCTTAAGTCTTTCCTCTGTACAGAATTTGAGATTAAAGACCCGGGGGAGTTGAGATACTTCCTTAGCATAGAAGTTGCTAGATCCAAGGATGGGATCCTTATCTCTCAAAGGAAGTATGTCCTTGATTTGCTTTCTGAAACTGGGAAGATGGGTACTAGACCAGCTGCTACTCTTATTGATATGAGTCACAAACTTTCCGCTTCAGATGGGACGTTGTTAGAAGACAAAGGGGTCTTTCAGAGACTTCTTGGGAAACTCCTGTACCTGTGCATGACTCGGCCAGATATTGCATATGCTGTCAGTTGTATTAGCCAGTTCATGCATGCTCCCAGAGATGGTCATATGGCAGCCGCAGAACGAATTCTGTGTTATTTGGAAGGCTCTCCAGGAAAGGGAATTCTGTTTGCCAAGCATGGTCATATGAAACTTGAAGCCTATACTGATGCTGACTGGGCTGGAAACATTGATGACAGAAGATCTACTTCAGGGTATTGCAGTTTGGTGGCTAGTAATGTTGTTTCTTGGAGGAGCAAGAAACAATCAGTTGTGGCTCGATCCTCAGCAGAAGCAGAATACAGGGCCATGGCACATGGAGTCTCTGAACTGCTGTGGCTAAGATCATTGATGGAGGAACTTGGGATTGAGCATGACAAGCCAATGATGTTGTACTGTGATAGTTAGGTCGCCATCAACATTGCCCACAACCCAGTACAACATGATAGAACTAAGCATATTGAGGTTGATAGACACTTTATTCGAGAAAGAGTCTCTTCGGGTGAAGTGTGTCTTCCCTTCGTCACTTCTGAAGGACAATTGGCAGATTTTCTCACCAAGGGCATTCCCAAGGCAAGGCTTTAGCATGACACTGGCAAGTTGGGCATGATTAACATCTATGCTCAGCTTGAGGGGGAGTGTAGAGAAGATGGGCCGAATGGCCCATAGGCTGTTATTCTATGTTATATTTATGTTCTTTTCTGTAATGGGCCTTATTYTGGGCCCATCCTCTTCTATGCTATGTTTTTTGTAATTTCTTGCCCAACCAAGGGCCTCCCTTGTAATTATTCAAAAATTAACTTAATGAAATAGTGTTAGAGTATTAGAGGGAGATATTAGTTTGAACCTCTCATTCTCTAACCCTCTTTGCCGCCAGCTCTCTCTTCATCTTCTACCAATCTTTTCAGCTGTTTTACTCCTTTTGATTTTTCCATCTAATCCTATACAGTCCCATACTTCGAAGGG